AACCCTAGCCGCCAGTGCCTCGCCGGAGAAGAAGAACCAGACGTCGAAGGAGCCGACCGCCGGCCGCCGTCACCCGCCACCGCACCGGAGGGTTTTCCAATTGCCAAACGAGGTAAAATTTTTCTCCTTGGCTCGTTTTTGAATGTTGAATCCACCTATGGCCAAATCGGAGCCAAACCACATGCCAATCAGCCGGAAAACACTACCGAAATCAAGCGGCGCCGCTGCTGCTTCTCTCAATTTTTGCCTCCGATGAGAGCCTTTTCGGCTCTCGTTCGATGCAATTTTTACACCACTGTGATCACCGTCCTTTTCTCTACAGGTTGACTGGAGCAAAATATCAAACTGCGACTCGCGCCGGAGAAGCCGCCGCACCCGAGAGCACCGCCGCGGTAAGTCTCGATTTTTCGTGATTTTTTGGCCCATCGAGGGCCCTAGGGTTGTTTTATCGCAAGAACCAATGCAAGTTTGGCCGAATTCGGCCGAAAACGGCCAACCTGAGGCGGATCGCCGCTGCGGGCGGCGGTGCCGTCACTGGAGCACGGCGGAGTCGCCGTGCCGGAATTTCGATATTGGCCAAAAGGGGCCCTAGGTCTGATTTGGAATTTTCTCAGACACGTGCAGGTACCGGTAGTGCGTTTCAGTTTCCCAAAAAAAATTCAGAGAATTTAGGAACAACCCGTAGGCGCATTGTAGAGCTGATTTCAGATCCCGAAAATTAAGAATCTCTCACCCTATCTCCTATCACAATATTAAAGCTTAATAAATAATTAAAAGGTATTTTATGACTTTATAGATATTTATAACTGATTGAGGTTGCTAATGGAGCCCGAATTTGATATATTATTGGTCAGTTGTTGGTTGATCTATTTTTCAGTATTAAATGCAGTATGGTATTTAATGTATTTATTTTATGGTTTCGTATTCATGAATCATAATTTCTTTTATTATGGTTTGAATTATGGTGAACCCGATGTTATGTTGTTGTTTGCTGTTATTATTGGTTTATGTATTTGTGTATGGTTGAAAAATTGAGACCATAGAAAATGGGAAAAAAAGGTTATGTGAAGTGATAAATGGATAATGTGGACAGCCTGACTATATATCTTTGTGAGATGGTGGACGGACCGGATTCGTAGG